ATCACAGACGTAAATAATCATTGTCATGACACACGGAAGCAAGGCTACGGCTTTTAAAACTGGAAGGCAGGCATATGTCTTGCCACACTGCTGTGAAAGGAGACAGGAATTAGGGATGTAAGTAAAGAGGATGCAAAAAAAATGTGGGAGCACAGAGGGACAGAATACCCTGCGGAACGAGGCACTGTCGGGGTGAGGATGGGAGGCCAGTGCGCCCACTGACTCCGATCTGCGTGACCTTGGGCAAGGCACTCTAATTCCTGAGGCCAGGGTCTTCCTTCTGTGTTTCTGAGACAATGGCCACCGCACAGCCTGTGTGGGATGGAAGTAATCAGATATGTAAATCAGCTGGCACAGTGCCCAGCCAACGGAGCCTGCCCATGAGAGCTCAAGGGGATTCTAGGCCAGGCTGGGACAAAAATGGGTCCCAACGCATGGGGACGGAGTCTGCTAGGGCACCGGAGTTAGACCCAGACAAGGTGAGGAAGGGCAGAGATCACAAGCTACCAGATGCCAGGCAGCTGCAAGGTGAGAGGAAAGGGCTCTGCTCGAGACTACAGACCTCACACTTTTCTGTAAAAGGCCAGATAATAACGTTTCATGTTTTTAAGTCCTTATGTTCTTCGTTGCACAATTCAGTCCTGCTGAAGTAACAGGCAAGCAGGCACACATGGACCGGAAGCGAATAGGTGGGGCTGTTTTCAAGGAAGGCTGATGTGCACACACAGAGGCCGGCAGGACCACGGCTTCCCAGCCAGTAGCCCAGCCCTCCTCGGGTCTGTGATGCATGTGATACACAAGAACAAAGCTGCCACCGTCCCCTCTTTCTGGACATCTCCAGGAAGACCTGGAGGATCTGCTCCCGAGGGAAGGCTAGCAGGAACAGGCCCGCAGGTCCCTGTCCCTGACAGCGGGGAGTGGAGGGAAGGGAACTGTGATGAAGGGCGGGAGCTGTCCCTGATGCCCTGTCTGCACAGTCAGACAGCAAACCGCTGACTCAGGCAGGCGGCACGCTGGATACTGAGATGCCTGGCTGACAGGCAGGTTTGCTGCCAGGAGGGTGTGTTTGGAGTCTCCTTTTCCTAAAATCCTTCTTGCTGTCTTCCCAGGGCCCAGTGAGGTCCATGCTCCTCTTGCCTTAGTGGTAATGGGATCCTAGCCAATGGGCAAATCATAACACAACTCCTTTCCTGTTCGGCTGCTGTAGCGAAGTGAGCACATCTTGGGAAGCAGTATCGCACCTACACTGGTTTCAAATCATTAAGAGCTGCAGCTCTCCAAGGTCGGCCAGATGCCAGGCTCCTTGGCCTGGGGAGCAATTAACCCTCTTCCACCATCACACGCTCTCTGGAAATAAACCTGGAGTCCCCAGAGAGCCCCGGGGAAGCAGAAGTGCAGTGGTCCCTCCATGGCTGCAGGAGTGTCCACAAGTCCCTGGCGGGCTGCTCTTCTCTCGGTTAGGCTCGCTGGACTGCACAGAGCTCTGTATGTACAGAGGAGACCTCAGGACTTGGGACAACTTCTCCTACCTGAACACTGGGCTCCAGCCTGTGTGTCCTACTTGCTGGACATTTCTCCTTACTTTTCCTGGATTTAAGGCATGACCGTCACTGTGGGCATAGCCATTTCCAGCCTGGTCCCCTGCAGGTCTAGGGGGACCTTTAGTGCTGTAGGGAGGGACACAGCTGATTCCCAGCGTTAGAGGAAGGAAACATTTTGGTCCAATAGCCATCCAGATAGAAACATAAGGGAGGATTTGAGAGTGGATTGAGCTCTTTCTCCAATAAAAAAGCGCAGCACACTTCTTTTTCTGACAATAGTATAAACTTGCTTTTATGACACTAGTTATAAAATTCTTAACATTTGTCTAGTGCTGGCAGTCTTTTTTTTCTTGGACATTCAAATGATGAGGGAGATGTGTGACCCCTAAACCCATCTCAAAGTAACACATCCTGTGTACTGGAAAAAACAACAGAGCCTGTGCCGTGCAGGACACGTGCAGACGTGGAAAGGTCACCCTTGACTATCTGTGTCCTTATGTGTTCTCTTTATCACCTATTTCTTACACTTGTACTCATGAGTAAGAACCTCAGGGTTTAGGTCAAAAACGGCCCCCAAGAGCCTCACGTCCTCAGAGGCTGGGCTTTGGAAGGTGACTGAGTTGTGGGGCACTATGGCTGAGCTGCTGTTAGAGGTGGAGCCTGGTGAGCTGTGGGGAGCCCGGGCCACGCCTGGAAGGGTGCATTTCCCTCCATCGTCCCTCTGCTTCCTGGCCACCAAGCTGTGAGCGGTGTTTTCCTCACGACGCCCCTCAGCCATGCCTTCCTGTCTCGGAGCCAGGCGACCATGGATGGAAATTTCTGAAACCGTGAACCAAAATAAACCTCTCTTCCTTTAAGCTGTGGGTGTTGGGCTAAGAGGGTTAAGTCTCGGCAGGAGCTGAAGAACAGTGTGTGAGGAGCGCTGGGGAGCTGGGAAGAGGTGTTTCCTGGGTGAGCCCTCTGCACACTGACCACCGTCCGCGGGGACTTAGTGGTGTGATCCTCCTAAACACACCGGGGAAAGCAGAGAAGGAAGGGGCGGCATGTGTGGGAGGCTGAGCGCTGCCTGACTCGGTCTGGGTTTATTTATTTGGGGGAGCAGCGAGGTGCACAGAGCGGTATTCCTCATGCCCCTTACTTTAGGACGCCTGTCCACTTCTCCAGGCAGAGCCCTCTTCTAGCATCAAGTCCTTTAATATATATCCTAATGAGAAATGAAAAAGGAACAGAAAATCGATTTGCACCCAGCAAGATGCTTCTCCCCGCCGCCACTCTGTGCTTCCCATGTGCGGCAGCCCCTATGGTGAGTCTTGTATTAAACCAGCATTATTTGCATGTGTGTAGGGGGTACTTTATCTTTTTAAAAGGGTGTGATGGTGGAGGCTATTTTCTATTAGTTGACCCATATGAAATTGTCTATAACGTACTTCTGCTCAGTATTATCTTGCGAAGGTCCATCCATCCTACTCAACGCAGCTGCAGTTCATGCATTTCATTGTAGATAATAATTTTTACCCTGTTAATAGTCATTGGGAGGGTTTCCAAGGTTTGGGCTCCATAAGCAATGATGCCCTGGGTTCTCTTGTCTACAGAAATGTGGGTGGACACACTGGAGTGGAATTGCTGGATCATAGAGTACGTGATGTTCCATTTTACAAGAGAATGACAAACTCTCTTGCGGAGTGATGGTACTGGGTACACTCCCACAAGTAATTAAGCACCTGCCAGCCCTTCCTCTCCACCACCTCTCATTGTGTGCCTGTTTAACTGGCCTCAAATGATGTATCCTTATGATCACGATTTGCATTTCTCAGGCCGCTGATGACATGACCATCTCTTCCTCTGATTACTGGCCATATGTGTTGCCGCCTCTATGAAAGGCCTGTGCAAAGCTTTTGCCCATTTTTCTATTTAATTGTGTGAGCTTCTCGTTGATTTACAGAAGTTCATGATATATCCTTGATATTAATGGGGTGTCGGTTATTTGCGTTGTAAATATCCCCTCTTTAGAGTGCCTTGTGATAAAGTAGCTCTCTTTTCTCTTACAAGAAGTGCTTTTTGCGGCCCTGTTGCAATGAATCTCCATGAGACCCTACGTGGATGGAGGATTGGCTCTGCCTCACAGGCAAAGCTGGCTGGGAAGGGGAACTGGAAAGCCATCTGGCCCAGGGCTCACACTCTGGAAAGACTTAAATCAACTGTGTGTTCATTATCTCCAAATGAGGTTACCTGCAGCCACAGAGATTCACTGTCAGGCATGAAAGGAGACCCTGCAGCTGGAGCCAGAGCTCCATCTTAGCAGTGGACCTGGACTTGAGAGGTCTCATAAATCTCGTAAACCCCAGGGCAGTGCCGCTAGACTGCATTCTGTTATTCTGATTCAAATATCAACTTCCAAAGTCTACCATCATGTGCATTTTTAGATATCTTAAGTCTCTTAAAGAGAAATTGCCCAGTCTCTCAGCTCCAAGAGGTACCAGACCTGGAGAATGAACATCCTGTTCCATTCACCCTGCTGGTGAGTTGCAGAAAAAGTACTTTACCAACACGTCAGGCTCCAGAGCTCAGCACGGCTAAGTGACAAGGAAACGTCCCCTCCAGCAGGACTGTGTGGGAGCACATTCCCGGCAGGCACTCGGCCCACCCAGGACCATAGGACCAAGGGAGACTGCGCTCTGCCCTGACACCCAAGAGCTTCCCAGGTAGAGCTTAAGTTTCTTGCTCTCTCCCGGGAAGAGGTACTGTCGAGCTCTTCATGAAGAGTAGAGCATTGAGCCATGGTGGCCCCCAAAACTTTCCTATATCCCTTCCCTGTGCAGGGAAGCCAGATGGTCACTGAGTATCCATAGGGGAGCACAAGGTTTTGTGTGTGTGAGAGAGAGATAGAGACAGAGACACAGAGAGACAGAGACAGAGAGAGGTACAGAGTGGGAGGGAAGGTGAAGCAGGACAGGGATAAACAGTGACACAGGCAGCCTGTGGCAGTGCTGACCTTGATGCTGCACATCTGTCTCACACCTGTAGCAATGACATTGGAGACTGCAGTCATAGCATGTAGAGGTCCCTGGACAGAACCATGGCACCTCCAGCAGCACCCATGGTACCTGTCTGCATCCACCATCTGGCACTGTGCCCCTGCTCTCACTGAGTGTCCTTCGTTTGGTGGGCAGGGCTCTCTGTGCCACTACCCCTGGCAGCCATGAGGAAGGACAGCCAAGTCTCCGAGGGAGCTTGCCCACGCTTGCCCAACCAGCATCCCTTAGAAACCAGGAGGCAGCTAAGGAGCAGCCCTCTGCTTCCGCAGCCAAGAATGGGCCACCAGGAACATGCCGAGGGCTCACCCTGCAAATGGCAGGACTGCTGGAATACAGATACCTCTTGGGGAGGTGTCTCAGACCTCAAGGACAGCACGGGCAGAGCCCCAGCCTGGCGTATGTGCAGGGCACGGCCCCCACCTACCTTCCGGATGCCTTCCGAAGGACTGGACACGCAGTTGTCAGCTCCCCCGTTCTTGCTGATGGTCCTCCAGAGCTCGGCAAACGTGCTGTCCTGCTCCAGGGGGTTGGTGCCCTTGGCGCGGAAGTACTCATAGACGGCAGAATCCCGGACGGTGCCGTAAGGCACCTCCACTTGTTTGGACAGGTCCTGGAATGTCCTGAAATGCAGAGAAGCATGGGTACATGCTGCCAAACATGCTGCAGAGATCTAGGGGGACCGCGCTCCCCCAAAGGCCAATGCTGTGGCCGGCATCCACCTTCTTCACACCGAAAGCCCAACAGCAGGAGCCCCTCAGATCCACAGCAGGACTTGCCAGGCCTCAGAGCATGATTCAGTGAGACTATAGCACATGTGGTGAGTGGTTCTGCACTGAGCTTCTAGGATAGAGAGATGAGTATCACATGATGCCTGCCCTCAGGGAGCTTAGCATCAGCTGTGGACATCTAGAATGCGATCATGATACAAGAGTTGGGTAACACAAGATGCTAATTACTGAAGGTCTCCATCGAAGCCCACAAATGCTGAACAGGAAAGAACCACGCTGGCAAGACAGATGACGATAACGACGAAGGCTGGGGCCTGGCGCTCATACTGAGTGCGGCAGACATTGGCATGCTAAGAGCTTGTGCCAACAAAGAGATGCCCGCTCCAAAGCTCCAAGGGGTCCTGGTTTCCCACCAGGTACTGCCTCTGAACACCTTGCCCCAGCCAACTTGCATTTTTTTAAAATAAAGGAAATCAGATTTTTATGGGAGACCTCCTAAGTTTTTTTTTTCTTTTTTCTTTCCTGGTTTTCAAATCAATTATTTACAAGATGCTGATGCTTAGACCCAGCCCCCCTGAGGCCTTGGCTTTGTTGGAGGTGGAGCAGAAGCAGGCAGCTTGAGCTTGGCTCATGGTGGAGGGACAGAAGTGAGCCCATCAGAAAGGCCATCAGCATCCCAGGAAAAGATGTCCAAGCTGGTGACAGAGGACAAGATTTCTTTTCAGAAGGAGAAATGCAAATGTTCTTGAATTGATGATGGTGTTGCAGGCCAATAAGCCCGTCATCATCTGAAACCCACATTTACTACATTTAACCTATTAGACATCAGAGCTCAGCCTCACCCACCCTAAATGTAATGAGGACGCTTGCCCTGCTTGCAGTTGAGCAAAATGATACAACACAAAGCCTGTAAGAGAGTTGGACAGCTCGTGCAAATCACCAGTCACCCACATCCCAAACTCTCTGGCCACAGGCACACAGCTGTGCCGCGTGTCTCCCTCTGTGGCCCCAAGGCTGATGGCAGCTGCAGCTAGTGGTCGCTGCCCAGCACCGTAAGAAAGGATAAAGCCATGTACTGCTAACTGGGAAGAGATCAAAACTCAAAATTTGCAGTGTGGATCTACCGCCTGCTTACTGCTCCGGTACCATGGCAAAGTCAAGCGTTCCTAAGGTGAACCATCATTAACCGGGACCATCTGGAGCACAGCAGGAAGAAGCAACTGGTGCAAAGTTCTCCCTTGGCCCTGGAAGAGCTTCGCCCAGCAGCGTGTGGAGACGATGCACAAGCCAGGTGGATTTGGGGCATTTGCAACAGCGAGAAATGCCGGTGGACAGCCAGGCTCCACTCTGGTCGCTCCTAACTTGTTTCTCAGCTGCAGACCTCGGTCTATCCTCCTTATCAGCCCTTATCATTCTCTACCCTCACCCCTCTGCTGAGTCACTGCACCCCAGACAACAGCCAAGCCTCCGCCCAGAGCTACGCAGCCGTTCATCTTCTGGCCCCATGCCTGGCAGCCGCACAGCCCATCTCAGCATGAGAAAGACCACCCACCCCCATGTACAGTGCCAGGCTGTGCCATGCCCCCTGCCTAGAAACCTTTATCTCTGTCACACACCCCTGTACCTTACAAATCTCTTGAAGATCCAGCCACTGCCTCTCCCCCGGGGGAGCTACTCCAACCCTCACTTCACTATGGCATCTTGGCACCTTGCAGATTTCGGGGACAGAAGGCTCTCACTGGGACTTCAGAGGGCAGCAAACAGGGGGGATACCCTGGATTTCAGCCTTCTACACTCAATGTTACGAGCCCAGACAAGCCCAGACAAGCAAACTGAAGTCCCTGTGCCCATTTCCAGATCTTTCCAAATTAGGGGTGGAAGCAGAGGCCCACTATGAAATTACAGTCACCAGCCTGGTGCAGCAGGCACTCGGGCCCTGGAAGCAGTGGTTCAGAGCTGGGATTAGACATCCAGGTCCCCTGCACTGTAAGAATCAGGGGGCCTGGCGCTGCGGCAGCTCTGACTTTGCATCCAGAGCTCTGGACCCAGGCTGACAGCAGAGCGGCCAGGGGTGGCAGAGCTTCCTCCAGCTTTGGGGACACTCCCCAGGCCCTCCCCAGCTATGCAGCATAGCAGCCGAGTTCAGCATTCATTTCAAAACGTCAGTCGCGGGTGAAAGGAAACATAAAGTAACAAATTCGATGAAGAAATCTTCCAATTATTGTGCATTATTTATACTTAATTGAAGCAAGATGTTCCTGTGCTTGAAGGGCCCCCAAGGGTTGTAACTGTGTCATCCTCTGCCTGTTATGAAAGGAAGGGGAGTCTCCCTTTCTCAGTTTTTTTTATTTCTCTCCTGGTAATACAAACAAACACAAGGCTTTGATGAAAGGAAAGCATCAAGATGAATTACACAGCTGAGCAAAATACTGAACTACTCTAAATAACCGTAGTTTCCACAAGCATGGGATGAATGCGCAATGGCCCGGAAGCTCTGCACCCCAACAGGTCCCCGAGCTTGAAATGAGATCTCCTCTCTGTGCTGGCACTTATGTACGACAGCAGCCACAGCCAGAGGCTAAGGAGGCCTCTGTGGGCGGTGGGAGGCAGCCCAAATGTTTACGGTTCCATGTTCCTGTCTGTCCCAGTGCAGACCACGGTTCCAACCCCAAGCTACCTTCCCTGCACCATGCACCACCGCCACCAAGGGCCATCAGCTCACAAGCTGCACATCGGAGCGGTGATCCCTCCGCTCTCTCTCCGTCAGCGATGGCTTCCATGCTCGCTGGCACACTCTGCACACAGCAGGGACCTGCGTCCTAGCTCAGGGTGATAAAGCTATAGTGGGCTATCCACCAGGCTGGCGGGAGGGTCCAAGTCACGGCACACCCAGGCTGTGGTCTCCCCACGGGTTGTCCTGTTGTTGGGGTGTGCTCTGACAAAGAGAGTGAAGCCAGCCAGCCACACAGACACTGCAGCCGGGGCAGACACGGCAGCCAGCCAGGACACCAACCAGGGCGCAAAGTGAGCCTTGCTGCCCGAGCAGCACACCCCACACAGCGCTTCTCTGAAGCCCCTCTCCTCAGCAGCGACTGCTCACAACGTCCAGGCAGTCCCAGCACAGCGGTGAAGAGCCGGCCTGCTGCCTACAGGAGGGTTTCTGTCCACACAGAGCGCACCAGCACCGTGCGCACCCTCGCAGCTCCCCAGCAGCTCCTGGACGTCTAGTGGGTGGTGGCCCATGGTGACCCCCAGAGCAAGGATGAACGAATGGCTAATACACACTGGGATGGGTGGCAGGGGAGTGGTCAGAGCAGAACCCCAACAGGGGGACAAGATGGGGTTCCCAGAGTCACAAGGGAGCTGCTAATGGTTTCAGTAAGAAACCTGAGTCTCTCCCTGGACCTCTAACAGAACGCCCAGCACTGATCACACATTGGTTCTGTGCCCATGGAGCAAGACTTCCTGGGGAAGCGGTGAGCAGCCAAGCGAGGAGCACCTCGGGGAGAATGGTTTCCGTGGGCCAGGGCTGGAAGAATCCTTAGCTGAGTCATGGGAGGCAGGTGCAAGCAGCTACACGGAGAACCTGAGGGGGTCCCAGGAGGAGGGGTCCCCAGGAAGACCCCGGGTGTGCGAATACAGCTCACTCGGTCATCATGAGGTGACTCTTACAGCCAAAAACACTCGGGCTTTAGAGCCTGACGGAGCTGGACTCATACCCTGGCCCTGGACGCCTTCATTGGTTGATGTAATCTGGTAGTTGTCAATGTGGTCCTCTGTCATCCTGCTTGGTCCCCACCCCAGACCTAGTAGAGCAGAAACGCTAGTCTTGTTTTTGTGGTCCTCTGGGTGACTTGCAGGATGCAAGTCCCAGAAGCAGTGACTGGGGCAAGCATTTAATGCCTGAGGTCTTAGTTTCTGTCATTCATGCCAGCGCCGTGGAACTGATGAACGCGAATGATCATGATTATTACATTCGCCACAGAGCCCGCGTGTGATCAATGATGGTGTTTTCTTAGAGGACAAGTAAGAAACTCAAGTGGCTGAATCATGGGCCCAGGAAGAGGAGTTGTGGACACCGGCTGGGGCGGTCATGGGTGGGTGGCAGCAGGTGTGGAGACAGCATGTCGTGGCTCCCAGGCTCCTATGATCACAGCCTGTCTCCCCACTGGCCGATCAGTCTACTCAGTGAGGAAACTGAGGCCCATCCTGCTTCCATCGTCCTGCCGAGGCAGACTCAAATATTCCCTACTGGTATCCAGTCCACGGCCCCACCACCAGCACACACTCTGGGTGACCAGAGCAATCTGAACCAGTGACCAGCAGGGAGACACCGGCTCCGCTGATAGGTACCTGCACTCTCCCTTGGTGGACGTGGTGGGACCGTCTCAGAGAAGCCTTGTGGGGAAGCAACAAGCAGCTGGGCGAGAATGGCCCCGACAGCTTCCGGCTCCAGGCTGGGCCTGGATGGGCTACTGAGTCTCACGCCAAGGCTCCCCTGGTGCCTCCTGCTGGCATCAGCTTACTTCAACTTTGGATGAAGCTTAGCATTGGGATTTTCCCAGGGCAAAGCCTGCCCTCTCCTCCAACTCTACTGACATTGGAGTTGGAACCAATGGGAGCTCCTTCTCCGTAGCCCATCCCTGGATTGCTGATCTTGTGGTCTTCCCTTGCCAAAAGCATAGCGGACACGGATAAGCAGATCAGACAGCCTTACAAAAGGACCTTGCAAGCATCGTCTGCATCTGAGAACAGTTCCCAGCTTTGCACACAGGAAGTTCCCAGTGTCTCCTTCGGCTGTGGCCAAGGGCACCCCCCAGCTCAACCCCACCTCCTGTCTTCCCCACACTTTTCCCCACAAATCAATCTTACTACTTCCTAGATACATTTTC